CTGATTGTAAGAGTTGAATTTGATTCTGAAATTTACGTTAGCTTATTTTAAATCGTCCTTTTGTATTACAATTAGTGCAGACGATATATTTCAATTATATTCTTTGCCTCCACATATACATGCGGTCACTGACATTTTTCGACCACTCTGAATTACTTTGGCTTCGTTAGAGAAGCTTCACCTGCGATGATTGAAAATAAATTATGAAAACTTTCATAACAAGTTTTTTCAAATGTTACAGTGAAAATTTTTATGCGCGTTTGCACCTTCTGTAATTCACGACCGCCGCTAACAAATTTCAACAAAATTATTACCGAGATTAACTCGAACCAATTAGGGATTGATCGTGCCAATGTTTTCCAAAATATTTATTAGTTTCCATTTGTTCCATGTTCTCATTAGAGCCGCAGAACGACTTGGCGAAAGCGATTATGTTTGTCTGCTCAATTGCTAACAAAAAACATCTCATTAAATGCCAATACAATAAATGACAAATTCATTCATTTAATTCCACAAAAATGTTATGTTAATGGAAGAGTCAATTGCAGTAGGTTTAACGAAATAGCACCGTTATGACTGATCTATTATTCAACTTCACAATCAGTAAAAGTTAACGAAAATTCTTAATTCAATTAAAATCCAATCTTGGAATAAAGCCCTTATCAAAATTCTAAAAATATTATTTTCTTTAGTTTGTCCCCAGACTACATAAAATTAATTCTAAGATCTATCAATAAATTCCAGATTATGTGCCGAGCTCTTTCACTGGTCGTTTGATGGAAAGCCTCATCCAATTTTTCTTATTGGTTTTATCGTGGGCGATATTTTAGAAGAAGTTTATTCTTTTTCAGGCCGTGCGGCTGCCAGGGCCGAAATACATTCCTTCTCTGCTGTAATTGGCGATGTATCCCTTCCTTTTCCGTCCTAATGAAGTTTTCCACTGCATCGATAATTTATGCATTGACGTGCAATTGAAACTGCATACTTTTTAACTCCAATTTATTTTAGAGACAGTCGGGGCAAAATTAATGTGGATTTAAAAATATATTTTCTGAGAAAACAATTTATTATTTCATTTCATTCATCAATCATTCTCTCACAGTCTCATCGTCTATATCACTTGATGTTACTTAACACAAAGAAAAAAAGAAAAAAATTCGCAAAAGCGGGAAAATGTTCACGCTTATGCCACGCATCAAAGATGCAGCTGTCGCAGTGCCTTGAGCGCATCGCCCTGTTATCTGTAAAGCGCGCTACACTGTACAGAGAAACCAAATTTTTGAGTGAAAGTTGTTGTTGATCAACTTTATCATTTCTAAACCTTTCAGTTTGATACTGTGAGAGAGCCTAATTAGCTATATAATTGCCAGTCAATTATTATTTCGGAACCAAAAGCGCTCGGGTGCTTTGAACTTTTGCTAAATTGAAACAATATGTGTACCGTTGAATTAACACAATGATTGAGAGCTGGCAAATTTTTGTTTAGATTAAATCATGTACATCCTTTGTTTTTTAATATAATGAATTTATATTATACTTTACTCATAGACAGCATATCTTGCCACAAAATGTGGAGAAAATTCTGATTTAGGCCGGCGATAATTATGATAGAGATACCTATTATTACTGCAGAAGTAAAGGTTATTGATTTAGATTTAATCCAACCAAATTTGTATAATAATAAGTTTGAAGTCAGCAATAAGCTTTTGCAGCTGAGGCAGCATTCCTGTTAGTAGCTGCGTGATGATGAGGCTGCATGCCTGCTGCAATGTTATATCAATTGGTCTTAAAATGGCTATGCAATCAATATTGCATAGCCATTGTGAGTTATTTTTTAAGTGTTCGATAACAATGCAAGTTTGCCAGCTGCTGCGTAATTATTTATGATAGACATAGCTGATCTCCAGCACCGAGCTTGTCAGCGCCATCCAATGAAGTCTTGACGAGCTTGCAAACTCGGCATCCAATTTCCCATTTTCGCGCGCTAACGAAGACAATTAAACGCGTTAATTTCGGCTGTATGACGAGCTTGCTGGTAGTGATTTCGAGCAAATCAATTAAATAACAACCAGGATTAAAAGTCCTTAACAAGTCCATGTGTTTCATTACGAAATCAACCTCGTCATGTTTTCCGACGTTGATTAACTAACTCTTCTTAGGTAGAGCAGCTTTAATTGGCAGGAAGTTATAGTCTTTTTGTTCTCGTGAAAGCGAAAAATTAAGGATTTCTTTGTTGACGAGTATTTTTCTTAAGCATTCATGTTCCAGACCATATGGTCACAAATGAAAGTTCATGGTTAATAATTGAGGTGGTATTGGGATGTAAGACTGTGTTTCTGTACTGAAATTTTGTACTTCTAACACAGATCGATCCATATTGGTGTCGAATATTTTGGAAACTATTAAGAAAAAAAGTCTGTACGTAGTTACGTTTAACCGCAGAACCTTTTGAGCACCTGAACGATCTATTCCTAATAATATATATTTTGTTTTAGCCTTCATCATCTGTTCTGTGTTTCAATTTTAAGAGATATCGAGATTGATGAACACGATACAATAAAAACATTTGTTGATTACATATTCTTTATATCATTCAGGATGATGGTTTTTAAATTTATGTACGCTTTAATTAAGGCCTCCAAAACGTGCACAGACAAAAAAAAGGGCACATCTTGAAAATCTTTTCCATGACTTTAACTACTATAAAATTGTCTTTGTTTTCTAATGATGTTATTAAAAAAATTGCATTAGAGTTTTTTCTGACAAAAGGACGTAGTTCGATGCAAATTAAAAATTTTGGTAAGCTGATATTTTACGGCCTTCAAACTATATTTCGGATTTATGGATAGCATTCAGAAGTTATTTTTCCCCATGAAAGTGATTTTTTTCTCGAATTTCATATAAATATTAACAGTTTGGCCCCTGCCCAAGAAGTTACTGCGCTTCAACAAAGTATTTGTTCATACGCCTTATTCAACAGTAGGCTCACTCACATAAACTGTTTTATTCCAGATTGTTTATTAATATTTTCATCTTTTGTACTTTGGTAAAAGTTGTCTGACATAACTAACTCGTCAAGCAAAGGCAGCTTTCGAGTTAAAATATCTCTTCACCTTTTATTTCCGTGGTTTTTTATCCCACACCTGAAAAAAAACAATAAACGGTGAATTTTTCAGTGAAAGTCTGGCAAAAATTGGACGCATCTGCACAATATTGGCGGTGTAGGGTGATTTTGTATTCACATCAGCGGCTGCGGCTGCAAAATAGGATGTCCACCCAAAATCATCGCGCCAGTTTTCCCTCGACCGATCTCAGGGGCTGCCGCCCATCTGCTCCCACACTTCCCCTCCCACCCTAAACAAAAGCGCTTGCTACATGTAAAGCACGTATTACAAGGTAGAAACTTTGCACGAAATTGTGCAAAGTATGAAATATGTATTCGTCTGTCTGGAGCTTTCCTTAATAATTTGTACCTATCAAGCTTACTATGTATTACTTGCGTTTGAACACTAATATTCCAAAGACAATGTTCAATAGAGCATTTATCCATTAATAGTCATATAAATGGATCCGGGATTATTTTATGACAAGGATATATTGATTTTACTGATTTTTAATCCCCGTTTATTTTAGACGAGTAGAAGTCACATACTAATGATAAACGTTTACAATCAAGAAATTTCATGTCATATAAATTAATTAAATGTTATGGTAAAGAAGTTGATGCATTCTGTAGAGTAAATATTTATTTTTACTTTCAAGAGACTGATTTCATTTCAGTCTTGTATACTTTTTTGGGTTTGGTTCAGTCTATCACTAAAGCTTTTTCACGAATTACATAAAAGCCCTGAATGATAAGACGCTACCGCTTTTATTACCAAGTTTCAAGGGAGACCGCATTCTTATTTAAGTAAACTAATTTTCTGTGTTCCCTCAAGAGGACGATATCGTCAATGCGACTCGCTGACAGCCAACCTACCACGACTTTAAATTCGTGTTTGGTAAAAATTCCGATTCCTGTGTCTTCCGATATTACGAAAGTTCCTGAGTAAGTTGCTTCAAACTAAGGCGTAATATTACGGCGATTGGCGGGAATAAAATATTTCCCAAAGAAATCAAATTTTTCCGATTCTCCATCGCCCGGGATCAAAATTACGACCGATCCGTGTTGGGCAATGTGATGCCTAAGGGTGAGGGCTCAGTAGATTAACTTCCGAGATTTTAGTGGGTAACTTTTTCACTGCCCTCTGACCTTCGTTCCACTGTAGGATTGAATCTTTGGGAATCGCTTGCAGAATTTTCATCACAACTTCTGTTTAGTATTTAACGCTCGCTTGCTTCAATCACTAATTCAACGATTTTACCACAATTTCGAGCCACCGAGCTGCTCTTACTGTCATTATTTAGAAATTTATTTTAAAAATAAATGACTCTTCGGAAGATATGAAGTTTTCAAAGTAAACACTGAAAGAAATTTCTCTCTAATTGAGGCCTAATAAATCTGTTTACCATGAATTCTTAACCAAAATTATTTCTGGATTTCTCTCATATATTTGTACAGTAAAAAAGGTACTCACAATTTGAATACGAAACATTTTAAAATAGAGTACAACTATAGTATCTAATTCATCATAAGATTTTAGTAAATGATTGGTTGTAAGCCCACTAGTTCTCTCTCTATCATCAATATGAGCTCGGTACATTAATTCCTTCTATTAAATTTGTAAAGTTTTCCCTGCATCCTATAATATCTGTATCAATGAACTTCTATCTACATCATTGCTCGACACGAGTGAATGCAATAAGGAATTTAAAAGCAAAGAAAACACCAAGCAAATTCACCATATCGATAATGAAAAAAAAAATTTCAATGTCGATATGGTGGATTTGCTTGGTGTTTTCTTTGCTTTTAAATTCCTTGTGAACTTGCGATATAAGCAGACTGATAATATAAGTACTTGGATGCAATATCTTGTACGCGCTATGGTCGCCGTCTGCAGGAGAGCCAGTCGACGGAGGGCGAGGTGCTGCTGGCGGGGCTGCAGGTCGCCTCGTCAGGCGCCTACCGCTGCGAGGTCATCACCGAGGCGCCCACCTTTGTCACCAAGTTCGGTGAAGGCAACATGACCGTCATAGGTGAGAAGAATTACATTGTTTCAGAATTTACTAATCAATTAGGACGTTAGCCATGTACTGTTTTGGCACTAAATACTGTGATTGAATTTTTTTAGGAAAACATGTAACTTTAATACACTTTTTCACCAATCAACTTGATAGATATATCCGAAATTGTTTTTCTCTTCGCAAATATTATTTATACTCACAATTTGAGTACGAAACATTTTAAAAATGAGTGCAACCATAGTATCTCATTCGTCATGAGATCTTAGTCAATGATTGGTTGTAAGCCAAATTCGTTCTCTCTCTATCATCAACATGACTTCGGTACATTATTTTTTCCATCGTAATTATTACTTATATTTATGTCCTGTCCAGACCCGCCACTGACCGCCCCCACCCTGAAGGGAGCCAACAGCGCCTACCGCTTGGGCGACCTCATCAACGTGACGTGCTCGTCTGACCCGTCCACGCCGCCCGTCACCCTGCACTGGGCCATCAACGACAGACCTGTCGTGAGTTAACGTATGCTTATATTCAAATAGAGTTTGATTGAATATATGAAACTTTTTATTCCAGAATTCTAGATTAATTTCTATATATAATTGTCTTTGGAATTCTAATTTTAATTTTAATATTTCCCCACCTGCAAGTTTATATGCCTAGAGTACCAAACGGATTCAGCCTATTATTTAATTTAAAAAATAAAGTATCAGACTATTATTACATCAACTCTAAAGCAATATATTATCTCTTCGACGTACATACGATACTCGCAACGCATGCATAAATTGTGGAGCATTTTCCATCGTTACAGACTCATGTTTGAGCTCAGCAAACATGTCGTGAAATAATCCGACCAAGAAGTGTTTAAAATGTGTCACATCTTCTTGTTGAATTTTGAACAGGATTGTCTTCTTTCTATGAAGCCTTTATAGAATTGTGTAAACAATTTTCCTTGTCTTCCATTTATCACTTAATTGGGGGAAAATAGAGCAGCGCATGGTAAATGCTAAGCGCATAATCGCCTCGTAAACATCGTGGTGCATGATCACCGTGTGATGTTTTGTATGATTTGCTTTCTAAATTATGTGAAACCATAATCTATTAATGATACAGTTAAAATGGAAATTATCGAATGGTCGTGAATTTGAGGCATCACTTAATTATGAGATCGTTAATCATGAAGGAAGCTGTATAAAAATAATATAGATCCAATAATACCGAGATCCTCAGAATAAACTTTTACCTCAATTCTAAATGTTTTCAAAATAAGCGAGCTGAACTTTGTGTTTAATCTCAGTCATATTGTCCATCACAATATAATATTATCACTAGTTGAGTCTAGTCATTTCAAACTTTAAAATGAAGCATTTTTAGAGTGCTTTTAGTGCACCCGTGCGAAGAGATACTTTAATGCAATTTAGAGCAGGTCCCTTACCTTTCTGAAGTGGAAAACCCGCTTCTTGGCAGGAGCCTCAGGCGTTCCTTTTTTAATTTGTAATTGTTTGTATCCTTCCTATGCGATGTCACCGGAACGAGTATTTTCAGGCGCTCTTTACAAGTTAAATTCGTCTATTCGAAGCCTTTTTAATTCCGCCCGAGGAGAGGCTCGGTTTTTCTCGGAACTTTGTCGGGTATCTCGGGCTAGCCATTCCGAAGTGCTCGGGCTCTAATTCGTCCGAGTAAGATCTTCATTAAGGCCCTTTAATTCCTTCTTCGGACTGGGCTGCGTCTCAGCAACCAATCGCTGACTATGCTAATTACAGACGCCTCTAAAAGCGCCTGCTGATGACACCTAATCACGAGCGTGAGAGGCAATTAAACGCTCTCACTAGCTCCATACTCGCATTGCGCTTTTAATGAACGCTTTCTAATTTATTGAATGCAAGGATAACGAGGGTTTCCTGTTCGCGCTAATCGCTTGATTAGATGCAAGAATGGCTAACTTTTGTCGCTCTCGCATGCCTATTTAATGAGCGATTGATTGACTAGAATTGCTACATTTTTCTAAGCGAATTGTTTCGAGAGATCGTTATGTTAAAAGGAAAAGAATCGGCGACAGGCCACATCAGGCCTACACTGCAGCGCCGAGATCACTATGTTATGTTATGAGAGTGAATCGGGTTATATCGCTCAGGTGCTACAGGTTAAACTTTTGATGTAAATGTGACTCTGCAGGCAGTTTCGTAATTTGTATGGGTTTTAAAATAAGATGAAACACATTAGCTGAGCTGCTTATCATAAAGAAATGAAAAATAAGATGGAACATTAGCTTCTTGTTCATGCTTGCTAATTGATCACCGAATTTTGGAAGTTTTCTTCGGTCCAGCTGTGCGTTTTGGCCGCATATTACTTATCTCTTCATCATTAAGCGGTTAGAAGTTGCTTTTTACCACTAATTAATATAACGTATTTTTATTTTTTTATTCATTCTTTATTCTTTCACACACAGAAGTAACACAGCACGACTCAATAGAAAGAGAAAAAACATGCTATTTGGTAATAAAAGATTCCAGGTGAAAAGCCCATACAAGCTAAAACAAAGCTTCGCGTGCGTTATAGGTGTCAAGTATGAATGTAATGGTGGCAACATGTACAACGAAAATTAATACAAATATCACATTCTAAAGTAAAGTCAGTACATAAGTATATTGTCGCAAGGAAAAAAATTATATAATAAACAAAGTTAAGCTAATATTGAGCAAGAATAAGATCGCGAAATTTGTCTTTAAAATTAATTTAGAACAGTTTATTCTGAAATCATCAGGCAGTTCATTAAGATGTTATACACAATTAAAAACAGTACATTATTCTCTATTGTATTGTTTATGCGCTCCATTGACAATGACCACAAACAATTAAGAATTAACAGAGCATAACAGAGATAAAAATTTGCATTGCCTGAAACTCATTTGATGTGTATTTTGGAGCTTAATGTTACTTTTTCACATTTTTTCTCGCTTCGTATAAGCGGAAAGTCTTCCAAGAATTTTTTAGCACAAATATGTTGATTAAAAATTATATTCCTAAGAATTATTGATAAGCCTTATTGATTTAAATTCGTTCATGTTTATTATATATATTCAGGGCCTGTAGCAAAGCAAACTTATTTTAATTCAGAGATCTTCTCTCGATTTTCGCGGTACGAATCGGCTGTAATAGATGTTGTTAAAACTGAATGTCATAATTTAGATCAAGATATATTCAATGATTTTAGTTATTTCTAAATTTTTATTTTTTTTCACATTTGTGCCGTTCTCATTACTTTCAATTTGATCCGCAAGTCATAAATTTTATTCATATTTGGCCTATTTTTCAAACGGGATGTAGTTTCATAACTAATTACTAATATTTTCAGAAATTTCAAGAAGCTAGATAAAAATGTCCAGCACCTAGTTTTTTTAATTTAAATGTCCCAATCGAATTCACACTTTCCCGCTCCTTCACTGTAACCTTCTTTCAGGTATTCCACCTCGGAAAATTATAATTACGTGTACATTGTACACATATATTACAATTACATTTACATTGTACACGTATACCTGAAATAGGTAGCCGACAGTACTTGCGATCATGTGTCAAGACGCCGCAACTTTGACCGCTATAATTACGTGTACATTGTACACACATATTATAATTACGTTTACATTGTACACGTATACCTGAAGTAGGTTTCAGACGACAGTGCCTGTGATCATGTGTCGAGACGCCGCAACTTTGACCGCTATAATTACGTGTACATTGTACACACATATTATAATTACGTTTACATTGTACACGTATACCTGAAATAGGTAGCCGACAGTGCTTGTGATCATGTGTCGAGACGCCGCAACTTTGACCACGTAGCTCAGTTAATGAAATACCTTGAGCAGATGAACCCGCACATGTTGCAGCAGCTCACCACCTCCTCGCTGCAGTCCGACAACCTCAGACATCGCTCACGTCTCGGGCTCATGTTCAGGGCTGCTGCGCGACACTTCGTTAGGTGAGAGAGTGCGCCCTTTCATTTTAGTGATACTGGTTAATTTCCCAGTGTATTAACGTATAGAAGTGATTAATTAGAATCATAGGCTATTTAACAGTAAATTTATTTTCTTCTGCTAGTAATGTGCGTATTCTTGCGATATATATATATATATATTTTTTTTCATTTTTTATTTTTTATTATTCTTTTCAGTACAATTGTATAGTTTTTATTCATAAGCTCTACCATTTTACTGTAATTTTCTCGTAGTTAATGGCAAACTCGATTTTAGATTCAATTAAAACTTGCCCTGTGCATTTTTCTTTAAACTCTAACCTCTTGTGACCGTAATAATGTTATTAAATAATAATATTTGTGTAATTCTAGCTTGGATCACAATTATTCTAGCCCGAATCATACACTCGCGGCTTTCCCTAAACCAAATGAAGCAGCTGGCCAGCTTTAATTAACTCGGGGAGACTTTCCCGTCCCAGTTACCCTGACAGAGCGGAGTAGCGCACACGCATGTTGTCTTTCCATTAAATAAAATAGACTTCGTGATAAATTGTCAAAATAACTGAACGCTTCAAGTTAGCCGATGCATCCGCTGATAACTGTTAGATAATGGAAATTCATTAATTTTAAATGGGTGATCCATTTTTAATGATCAATATTTGATACGAATATGAAAAGACGGGAAGATGAAATAAAAACTTTAGAAAGCTTTGATTTAGGTTTCATTGCTGTTTGCTTAGATATCGAAATATCTATATCAATATCCATACGATTTACAGCATTGATATTGAGATTACGAGAAATATTCAAGATCTACGACCGAGATTACCTTTGAGATCTACGAGAACACGAAAGACTACAATGGTGACCGAAAATTATTGCGAGGCATTATATAAAATTAAAGGTCATGAGATCGCTAGTGAGCTCATAGTTCATAATGCATCCCAGAATTCTGTTTGTACTTCGTGTAGCGAAGATTTGGCCTGCGTCCAGGGTAGTTCAACCATCGCGCTCTATAATTCTCACTTGGGATGTCGACGCGCCGAAGATTTCCTCGGTCAGCCCTTTAGTACGTCTCAAAATATTGCCGGGAGTCTCTATACTTCATTTATTATTGAGTCTTTGCGTGGAGGTGTTCTGAAATCCGTGCGGTATGTGACTCCTTTCGATCTTCATGCCAATTCATTTGGCTGAAAATAACTTTCTTTTGCAAGGCAGGATTAAATTTTTTCGAAATTTAATGAACTTGTAATTGATGAAAAGCACAGATTTAAATTTCATTCCGGCTTTAATTTCATAAATTTTCACGTGAACATATTTTATCTAGTGACAGGTTCTCTTAACCTAGTCGTATTTATTGTTGACCTGAAATGAGCATTGAAGGAAATTTTGAGAAGCCATTAGCGACCAATTTCCTTCTTTTTACAAGAAAAAAAAAACGTATCACATCATTATTCCTGGAAAAAAAATTAAACGCACCATATGTATTGTTTATACCCACTGCAGCCTGAGCCATGGCGCAGCATTAAATTAAAGGCGATATATTTGTCCAACTGCACGAATGAACTTGATACATAAAAATGATTATAGTTTGGAAGGTAACACATATGTACAGCTGGACGGTAATAGGTTAAACAGAGGCTAGGAAACTTAGGCTTGAATAATAACTCCATATAAATTAAAGATGGCGGGCATTGACTCGACAGAGGGACGATGCGCCTCAAGTGCACAGCCAGCATCGGGTCAGTGTACAGTCGCAGTCAAGAGACGACCGTCATCGAGGCCAGCTTCCTGGAGCGATCGCAGGCTGAGGAGAGCCGAGGGTACCCCTTCTTTTTCTTCAGTAAGTATTTTTGAAAGTCTATATAATTGTACACATTTTTAGGCTCTAAAATAATTTTTGTTACGTTAGATATGTTATTTTTCAAGCATTGACTTGTATATCTCAAAAAATATATTTTTATTCGGAATTGAATACCTGAAGGTAAAACTGAACTGAAAACGCCGTTCAGGCTGAAGTAAGGTATTTTAAATTGAGACCATCCTCACACAATTAGAGCTACGCATCCAATAACTATAAAAATTATGCTGTCACAATTATCGCTCAACTCAGCCATGCTACGAAAATGTTATTTTTGTAAAATAAATTTCGTGAAAGCAAAATCTGTTTTGCATAAGCTAGATATTAAATGCGCCTGGTCTTCGCGGCACTATGGAGGGTATAGATATACAATGCTCTACGATATTATTGTGTGTTTTCATCTTTATTTTGGAATTACGATATTTTGTCTTCTGTGCATTAACGGTGTGTTTTCGACCAAGATTAAATACTTTAACTCCCTGGAAACATTATAATAATTAGTATAGATTCTTTATAATTTTACATGCTTCTTTTAGCATGTAATAAATATTTCTAGATTTAAGAATCACTTGATCACAGTTGACAACCACACGATCGTCATTTCGATAGCAAATTAATTTATTCGCAGAATTGAGCGAAATAATTTCCACGTGTGAAAACAGTTACTCAGGCCGCCTCCCATTGTCTCTCGCTTTTCTTTTCAATTTTCAAATTGAAAATGATGAAGTTCTCTCGCTTTCATTTCTAACACTGACAAAAGATGCCTCTTCCCGAGGTCTCTTTTGGCTTATTACGTAAGATAAATGCAAGTCTGTGAGACGATTCTACGAGACGCCGACGCCCGACGAGACCAAGACAACGACGTGACTAATCTTGTTAACTGAGTCTGCCAGCCGCCCTATGAGCTACTGCTATTGTTCACTCCGTTTCTTAACAAGAAACAGGCGCAATTTGCTTCAATTGAATGCCTGATTCCTTGCTGATGGCAACTGTAATGCTTTTGATCCTAATTTACTTTTTGTAGTTATGCTAGATTATCATTATATGGTATGATGAACAAGCGAATAAAAACGTGTTTTTGTTGAAAGTAACGAGCGATTTGTGCAGTGAAGCGAACGTAAAATATTTCTCAGATATTGCTATATCAATTTTTCTCTTTTGAGAGCATAAAAAATAATATTAGACACATCTTATTTCAAATAAAATTTTAGTTAATTGAAATTCTGTAGGTAGTGAAAAATAATTTTAATTTTTAAAACAGTTTCCGTCGAAAAAAGTTTGACAACAGATTCGACTAAATTTGTAGAACTGATGAACTATAATCGAGTAAATTTGTTTGCAGGCGGTGCCAGCAGCACATGGGGCCAGTCTTGTCAGCTTGCCATTGTCAGTACCCTCTTCTTGACACTTGTTAAGAGCTGGCTCTGGGACGAGTCCATATATGCCAAGGAAGAGACTGCTAGGCACCGACAGCCTGGCTCGAAACTTCCACAAGCTCCAAATGCGCCGCTCTGTCGAGTACGATCACACTCTGAATGTCACCTGTCACAAATAAACGAAACTCGGAATATGGGCCTCCTCCCTAGAGGCAAGAATCCGTCCGTTGCCACCAAGTTCGAGACACCCGCGGGTACGAATTCGGAGCGTCAACACCCAATTCGTATTTAAGGGGTGGACTGGTGCCCGTATTGCCGAGCGCTGAGAAACCCTCGATGTTTATATGTAATGCATGATTTGTATCATATTCCAAGGTATAACTTTATTTGTATATCTGTAGTGCTTGCGAAAAATTAATAAAAATTGCTTCTCTTGTTTTTCAACTTATCCTTCTAAATATCAGAGTTTTTGGGAAAGGTTATAAAGTGTTTCTGAAGAGTCAAAATTCGTTCCACCTTGCGGTTAATCTTTCCTATTGGATGCTTTCAACCGACTAGCTCAATTAATGAGACGCTAAATTGACGTTCACGATTATTTTTTTTTACCTCCAGAGACGCCCAATCAATCGGTTCATTGCTGAAATGATCTTCCGAGATGAATATTGCAATAGCTAAAATTTCTAAAAATAAAATACTTGTTATGATAATTTTCCTGGTGAGTATTTCGGAACGTTCATATGCTCGATCATAATTGGACTGGGGATCTCGACTTAAGATCACTTTACCTGAGCCCGATACAGCAGGGCAGTGGAGGAGTAGGAAGCCCTGCGCACGAGAAAGTCGATGTCATTGAAGCCTTTCAAGAGCTGGCGGCTAAACGCGTCGAGACGCTGCAAGCATTGCGTCTCATTTGCTCCAGTATTTTTTTTTTTAAAGCCAGGTATCTAATTAGTCACCGACCACTTCATTCAGGAAAAATGAATGAAATATCGGGTTAAGAACTAAGTTTTTTTTTACCGGAAGCAAAATTTTTTAAATTAACGTACAATGGAGCTGTCGTTCCAGCAAACGATAGATTCAAATCGCATGAAAAATTTTTCGCACCTTCAAAAACAGAATTATACTTTTTTATATTTATGCAAGTAACTAAGAAGAACCACACATTTAAAACTGTTTTTTTGGAAAGTATTCCTGAATCGAGTTTAAATTATCTAGCTTCTAAGCAGTACACCTAAACATAACTATGCAGAGGATAAAGTTTTACACACTTTTCAAGTTCCAGCGGAACGGACAGTTCGACTACCGGGGTACGAAATTTATTCGAAATTTCATTGGACATTAAAATTTTTAGTCTGTAATAAATTCAGTTCTATGGTGCAATTTCTGCAGTACGTATCTAAAACTTCTACATGATATTGCCAGTGAATTGAGAGTTGATTCGAAGACGAATTATGGAAATTTTTAATAAGTTCACAATACTGGAATGAAGTTCAAAACTATTTTTACTAATTATATTTTACAATTATGATAGTCTGCAATCTTAAACTTTTAAATCTTCCAAAGAAAAATAATTAAGTTATCCTATACACAAAAGTTGTCGGAACACGAGTTGCTCATCGCGTGTACAGAGACATGAATGCACACAACATGAATGTGCAACGCACACGATGTCTCCGAAAGTTCAAGCGTCGTCGTTTCGCAGCTGCCTTGACGGTAAGTAAATGAGTTGATATGCGTGATTTATGTTATAAAAAAGTTCTAGTTAAAATATAAACTGTTTGTTGTGTGATTTTCCCGGAAAAAGTTTGAACGGCAAAAGTGGAGTAGGTGCAGGCAAGTTGTAAAGTTTACTAAAAATAAGTGACACGTCATGAATTTCAACGGCTTCGGTTCATTCCCTAACTGTGTACAATAGATGGTGATAGATTTCGGTATAAATTGTTGACGTTTGTCAGATTTCCTGACTCGCAAAAAGTGAGATAATTATTAAAACCATCGTCAAATTTTTTTACATTACTTTTATACGATCATATCAGAAGATTTAATTGACTGCGGCCAATCTTCATTTTTATGACTGCCATGGATAAACATTTAAGCGTGACTGAACACTAATTGGTTCCTATCGAATATTTATTCTGCTGATAATCTATTGGTAATGTTTTTTTTTTTTGTGCAAGTTTTTTTTTTCTTGTCACACAATGCAGGAATTTTGTTTCTTTGGCATTAACTGTTGGTTATTATTGTATGGCTCGTGTTGTTAGTTAGAATAGCTATGAATAAGTTGCTGTTTCCATAGTAACGGCAGCTTCAGGATCGACCTACGCTGTCACTGGCTCTACAAATGTATCAGTTTCAGGCGCAACGAGCTAAGCAAAATTATGGCAAGACTTATCAATGCATTGGAAAATAATTTTTTTACGTATATAATAAAAATTTCTGTTATCGAGAAGCTGCTATTCACGTGCTGGGTGTAATTACGGAGAAAGAGTGTGGGTAATTCCTTATGTAATATGCTAGACACTATCACATACTTTATTCATTAAAAAATTCTAGCTATGAACCTACCTATGCTATCAGGCTCAGCCTTACATATATGCCCTTGATGAAATATTCCGAAAGCTCTCTGCGCATTAATTTACGTACATTTGGTATTGTTTATTCAAATGTGCTAGATAAAATATGTGACTGAGATCTTTAAATAATTGATGACCGGGAATTGTATTCAGCAAAAACGTTGCAAGCTTAGGATTAATAGTTAAAAGTTCGTTCATATTTGATGCAGGCTGTTGGAACGAATCATTAATGAGTGCACAGTCGCAGTATAGAAGATCGTTCTCTCACTGTCTCAGATTTCGCAAACTTACATGTAACTTGAAATTTTAGGTATATTTGTATTAGCATTTAAAAAATATAACGTATTCCTACTATTATACTAATTTTTTCACTCAATGTTGTCACGTGATATAATTTTAGGACATGAAGTCCCACATCGGATGAACCCTATGCTGCTTGATGAACTAAATTAATTAACCAATGATAAGTCAAAAAGTTATTGATATTAAAGTCAAACAATTTTCAATGATGTAATCAGCTTTCATTTATGAAGCAATCGCGGTTAAAAGATATTGCGCTTTCGAAGCTTGATGATCCACCCGCGTAAGGCACTTACTTGTGACGGTCAACACTGGTACCGCGGAAGTTTCTCGGTCTACATAATGACTACATTGAATTAAGTATAATTTTTTTAAATATTGGAATAGTGGCATTAATGAAGTTGCAACGAATTTGATTATTTTTTTTCGCTTCAAACAGCGAATTCTAATTGCGTATAGTGAGTATTTGTGCGGTGCAACGATTGATGAAAATAGGTTATTGCATTTGAAAGTAATTTCTTATTAATTTTTCGTTCTAAATTAGTTATTTTTCTTCTAGAATTTCATCCTTAATCAACATTTTTATTCTTCAATAAGTCAGTTATTATAACCTATCTGGGTAAAAATTGTCACGTTCATTTTTTTAACAAACACGCAAGTCACACTTCTATTGAACGAGTTACTATTTCTTCAACAAGAACAATAATGCTTTCAGAATCAATACCATCATATTGAAATACTATTTTATTTAGTTTACTCCCGTCTTCATGCTGGGCTCAGGACAATGAAACCCAATCAGTTAGCAACATCTGCCAGCTCCACCAATTACAGCGGAGGCAACATTCATTCTTTTTAAGGCAGTGACTCGGTGACCGTAGCACGGCAGCCAGCGAAGTGGCCGTGATCCCGTCATTTCCGAAGTTACCGCTTGATTTGCGCCTTCTCGCCTCTCTTATTAAAGATGCCCAATGGACCTGACAGCCGTATGACTTTCTGGATGATATTCGCTACCTTTGGCAGCTCCTCGGACTCCCTGGAGTTTCACGCTCGGTCTTCTTGCACTCTAAGCTCCTGAGAGCAACTAGATTCCTAGTATTACAAATATTGTTTATTACATACATTTTGCTTCAACTTACATCTATTTCAGTTTTTTTTCAATGAAGGCAAATGATTTACTTGCCGTTCAGTTGGTAAGACCAGGCTTGTACTGATTATCCTCGAAATATATAATCTAAATGGTCAGGAAATAAGCTTGTGGCTAAAATTATTGGCCGCGCAATCAGACTCTAGCAATTGTTATGTCTCACCTAACTGCTTTCACAAGTTCTACGATGAAAAGGTATCCAAGAATGTATACCGAAATATCTGAATTATAAAATATGTCTGCTGGGTTGTGCCTTTGTTAAACCATTCGCTCAACCAAGATCGTCCTAGACTTTCCTCGTGCCTATTGAATCAATTTTTTCGACCACGGCCAACAGAACGAAAGGTTGTTGTTAGATTTCCCATTGGTGCGCGTAATTTGAAGCCACATTCCTGCAAGCACCCTTTATTCCCGCGCCTAAGCGTCTTATTTGGCTTACAGCTCTGGACGAATGCTTGCTTAGTCGAGCCTGCACGTGAACGATCCCTTAGAGAGGCATCGTAATTCCCTTCCAATGGAGGCACAAGAATTTTTATGGTTGTTGGGCCTCGGCAACGCTGCTTGTTTGCTTCTGTCCTGTGGATACCACCGCAGAAGTTTCGCGTCCTTCGTTCGTCTCATCGTCTGATAAAAATTGTTATAAGAAGATAAAACTAGATTATTAATTTCAATATTCATATTTAATGATTAATATTTAATTCTTTTTTATTGTAACAGCGGTTATTGACTCTGATCCAAAATGAATTTTTGTTTCTTCCAAGTGTTCGATAACAACTTTCGCCGTCTTCTAGGTGTACCACCTAACTAATGTCATGCTCGGAATCAGAGGCTTCGATTATAATAGTCCAATAACGCGTCCAAACATGTCGGCCTTGATGCCTTCGTTTGCCTCGAGGAATTTCATTTGGAATACATTACATAACGGATGCATTGCTTCAGTGCTTACACGTGAGTTGTGCGAGTTGACAGGCCATTTCCACTCACGTCAACCTGCCTACTAGAGGCAGTTGAATTATGTCGTTCCCATTTGCGGCATCACCTCAAGCAGCAGCTCAAAGACGGTTTCGATTGTAACAATCTAACATTAGTAATCGTATAACGTAATTTAAACGTGCATTTATCGTTGATGAACTGCTGAAAACTCTTGGTATACTAGAAAGGCGGACGCGACCTTTTAAACACGCTCGACAAAATTTGTCGTTTCAATTTAATGTAATCTTGTAGATGGAAGTATCAATCGGTACAAAGTGGTTTAATTTGGTCATGCCTCTCAGGCTCTCGGTGCCGTTGGTAGCATGCCGTACCTGTTACTCGACAAATGTACCATAAAATACTCATTTTAGCTGTTTGGTCTGGGCTGTTGTAGTGTTCCTATTCTAATTTATGTATACAAATATACCATGTTGATGTTTAATTTAGATATGGTTCTGACGATGAGGAACGATCGTTATGTTCCATAAAAAACAACACTTAGCTGTTCATTTCCGGTTTCCCAACACAAAAACAAAATTTCCCAAAATTTTCCAAGCAAAAAGTGGTTCCACATGGCAGGTAAATAAAATCATTTACAATTATACGTAGTTTATTAATGCTTACTTATACAGGACATATACAACTGTAACATATTTTCCATGCGTATTCAACTATCCGACTGGTCAACTGACAGTGATAGCAAAACTTCACAGCAACGCCGACTCGTTAAGATACAAAAATACCAAGATGTTAATTAAGCACACGTAAACAATCTCAAATAAACTAATGTACCTGGCTTCTTTCAAAGATATCAGACAAATATTGTAACGAAAGGTTGTAAGACTAGCGAGTCTCGACATAAATTAAGTAGAGCAGTCTATATTGACTTGAAGCTCGATGTTAGATCAAACATTTCGAACCTTTATAGTTGAAAGTTTGTCATACGTTTCATTCGTCAGCAATTCTAGACCTGACACTTCGTGTGATAGAATCGGTATTCAACAAGCATAACGTGTTATCCAAGTTCCTGAACTGGATGCATATAATTTGCATATCTGCAGAGTTATGTGAGGACCATGCAAAAGCAAGAGGGGAAATGTCAATCAAACTCTAGCCCATTCAATGCAACAATTGCAGCACTAAAGGCACAGACATTAACAAAAGGAGAGTTAGTGCGAGATATCGGAATAAGAGGCATTATATTTACCTTAATGATAAGAAAATATGCAAGTCAGTCCTTAAGAACAATTCAGTTCTAGTCGCTGAAACGGCTAACTATCACGTAAATTATAATTATAAGTTTTTTACGACAAACTGAATCAGTCGGTAGAATTTGGTTGAGAATAGAGCAGAGAATATGTGATCATTGTGAATCCTTTGATACGTCAAGCCACCAGTGGACGCGATTGGTAATGCTTACATCTCGCAAAAAGCTAAAATTGTACACAAAATTGAATATGTAGAGAAACCCGAGACGGTGAAAATAGCAAAGGATTATTATGCAAAAATTATAGTAAGGAATACGAGTTTATAACAATTGGCTTTCGCCTCGGTCTCAATAAACAAGAACTTTTTTTCAAGTTTTCAAAATAGTTACATTTCCACCTACTTTTCTAGAAATTCAGAGTAAACAACTAATGTTCATATTAGTCAAAGCCTTTACTGCAGACCTTATTTTAAATATTAGGATAATTTAAGCTGTAAAACGAAAGTTTTCTAATAGCGCAATACGAAACAAAGTTTTGGTAATGCAAAGGCGGGCAAGACAAGGGGTAGCGATCATGAAAAAACCTCCAGACCTTATCTTCCTTAATAGATTCCACCAACAACCAGCAGGTTACGTTAAGCTGCAGCTTAATGAAATATGTAATTATATTTACATAGTAAAAATTTTTATACGAAGAGAATTCCAATAGCTACACACATTATATTTTTGGTAGGTGCACTACGGTTTATTTTGGTAATTCCAAATAGATACGGCACATTGAAATTTGCAGCGAAGAAACTTCTTTGCGTACCTCGTTGATTGAACAAGTAGACTTTGCGTCGTTGTATAGCTCCTCGCAATGCGAGCGCAACTCATGAATAGAGGACTCGAATAGTGATCTCACTGTCTCTCGGGGAAAGTAAGAAATAAAATTAAAGGAAATTTGGAAGATTCGCTGAGTAATTTTTAGGTCAAGACATCAATGAATCCTTATGATCGAAACCAAATAAAGAAAAATGAAAACTCACCCTAAAAATCATCCAAAACATGCGTGCTAAACAAAGTTAATTCACAAATCGTTGCAAGAAGCGTGCTAAACTCAAGCAAACAGACGAAGAACTCCAGTCAAATTCAGATTGTCGATAAGGAATACTACACGACGCTTGCTTGCTACAAAAGGTATCAGGCAAAAACAAAGATACAGTCGCATGAAATATGAAGCGGAAATTTGTAACAGGACTTCAAACAACAATGAGAAGAGAAAAAGTCCTGTTGCAGAGAACGCAACATAATTCTTAGCTCAGAGATGAGAAGAATTATCAATTAATGCAGACGCGCACTCGAAAAAAACACCGCAGCGGCCACCTGTGTTAACTAAAATTATAAAGAGCCCGTTCACAACGGTGGATTCTAATATGAAAACGGTTGCGTGAGAGTGGCTGCTCTGCTCAAACGGTAAAGATGAGAACAGTGATATCTATAATTCCTTTCATTGAGAAATGCTGATAGGTATCAGAAAAAAATGAATATACGTCACTTGTCACCGTACGAGAGAAAAACAACTCACGAGTTATGCAAAAAACACACAGATGCCACAACCAGCGTTAGCAAGAAGACATACGGTAAATTCCCAGATAATAACATTCGTATCGAATGACGAAAGCAGCAAAACATGAAATAGAAAGTATTTTATAATTTCCATTTACCAAATAATGAAAACACCATCATAAAACAATGATTTTCAATAAATATTTCTAGGTTCTGTAAAAATTTAGATTCAAACACTAAGATAATCTTTATAAAGTAATAAAATTCCTCTCACGATGAGTTATTGAAGCAAACATTGGAGATAAGATGAGGACAATAAACAGCAATGCATAGCAATATGCATTGCTGGATGCAACATGCAGGAACGAGAGGGTTCGATGACTATGGCTGATACGCAAGAAAGCAGCTAAGTACTAACTTAAAATTACCTTTATCAACTAAATCTAGAAGTGAAGGATATATACATAAAAAAGAAATCCAAAAGACAAAATAAAATTACGAAATCACTCAGAAAGCAACACAAGGATACAAACACCAAGCAAAACGCCCCTAAAACCTTGATATTTTTTGTACTTTTTTGGTTATGAGTGGAACTAAAATTAACGGCTAGACAATTAATTGAGGGAAGAAAAGTCCTGCTTATTTTACAATCCATCAAATTGGGGAAAATATAATCTCAAATGATAAAATAGAGATGACATCTCAAATGGATTGGGATATATTTTATTTCAAATGAGATAAGAACATGTCAGGTCGTTATGAAGGTCACAAGTTGCCAAATAAAATCCTGAAAAATTTCATTTAATAGATTCATAATTGAATAAAGAATGGCAAAAAAGCCAGCTGAAAATGATGCAAGGAAGTAAAAATATTCAAACTTAGTATAATAGGTATAATTATAAATAAAATTGATAACTAATTAATATTACAAGGAGATAAATAATGATAAAAATGAATAAAAATTTCTATGATGAACCACAAACATGCATGGAACGTTGCAGTCCAGTCTTTCCTCTGGGAACACTTATTGTTGCTGTTAAGAAAACTCTTAAGAAAAATAATACTCTGGTTCTTTAGACACTTTCTCATTCCAGCTGGAATTAATAATTTTGGAGAATCTAAATGATAAGAGGAAGAGTTATGAAAACAAAATGATAAGAGGAAGTAGGAAGAGTTATGATAACAAAATAAGTAACCAAAACATGAGCAGCCGCAGGAGGGTAGTGAGCCAGCGTCACCTGACAGTCAAGTCAGAGACCTTAATCGCTAATCTTAGTCATGACTAAATCATTACAAATTAGTTGAGTTCTCATAACATGCCGAACTGATGAACACATTATTATGAAATTTCTGGCACGAGTGTGTACGTCAATTGAAGAAATAGGAAAAATGTGAATTGTGAACTAACATGTTGGCAATGAGACTTGTCCTTGGTCGTATAGAGCCACGGAACAATCACAACCTCTTGTAGATGATCCATTTATATGAGAAAATTCAAATTGTATGAAAAACCAATTGTTAGACAAAATAGTAATTCCAATCTAATTTTTATCTTCACTTGTCGTGTTGTTACCATATATTTTTCTAGTTATCGCTACAAGACAGACACCATATAAGCCATACATGATCACCACAGTAGTAGCACACAACTTAATGAGAATATGATGGTAAATCAACTATTTACAACTGTACATAAATACGCAGAGAAAGATCGAATCGCTATCTCATGTTCTTTCAAATAACTGAGAGTATGAATACATATTCCTTTATAACCTTTAAAATTCATTGATTAGAAACAAATAATAATTTCGACTCTCAGAGAACTCTTGACGTCTGCTTTTTTTCTCAACGTAAACTAACAAAATAGATTATAAATGGTAGGTAATTCAGGTAGTGAGGTAAGTTGGAAATTCATCTGGGGAGCTAAGATACAAAACAGTGCGCTCAAAATAGCAATTAATTTCTTCAATGATAAAAAAATGAAGCCCGCCTACGTTCCATGGAGAGAACCTTCCATTGACAACAATTCTCCCACACCTGAGTTTGTCATAGCGAGTAGCTAGCACGGCCAAATTATTCTGCCTTTAGGCCAAAGTACATCACTTTCCTCATTCTAAGAAATATTGTTCACAAAAGAACATAAATCTTGAGTAAATTCTGTGAAAAATCTTTAGGAGAAAGTAAATGTTTATGGCTGTTGCTTCATCAATTAACTACTCAAAAAGGCCGTACACAGTGCGCACAGTACTCAAATATTTATTGGTAGAATTGACGATGATAATGGTCGTATTAACCCTTTTTGCACGGCCAACCATCAACATTTCCTTTAATTCTCTTCAGCTCAGTTAATTCTTGTTACCAGTTCGGCAACGCGTACAGCAATCCTAACGCGACAGCAAAAATTAATATTAATAACAATTCTACCATAATGCTCACGGAACGCCGCGAGGAACAAGAACATAAGCTGGTAGTTCCCAGTCACGCTCCAGTAAATTTCTTAAAAACGAAGGCACAATCAGCGGTACAGGTCACTGTTCAACATCCAGTACGGTGATGAAATAAATCACTTCGTCGTAAGTCAAGAACATTTCGACCGGCGAAAAGACTAATGTTTCAATTTTAGTCCACGCATAAAACTAAAACAAATTAACGGTGATACATTATAATTCTTATCCGAAATCGAGCAATGTATACGTCGCATCAACGAGTGTCAAAGACGAGTTGATATCGAAGAAATATCTTTGTTATCAATCGCAAAAATATAATGGGATCAAACCACAGCAACGGCAAAAGAGAGCTAATACAGAAACAAGAAGGCGAACATATCACCGCATTCACGTCGACTGCACGTGTGAGATTAATTATAAGCACATTTCTACTAACTGATTACAGTATATTATTTTAAAAGTACAAGTTATATCACAATTTTTTTAGCAGGATGCCACATACGGTGGTAGAAGCTTCACTCGTATACCAGTAAGCATCCATTATCGTGGTTTTGACATTACTTAAGATTAACCTTAAAGGGATATAAAGAACCATGATACCCTAGAAGTTCACTACGCTATTCCTTACTTATATATTGAGGAATATAATTGAGAAATCAAGTACGTCAAAGCAAACATCAAACCATGGCATTCCACAATTTTCCATAGAAATTCCACCAACAGTACGAAAAAAGTTGACAAATCGTACAATCCAAGAATAATATAATTTAAATACGAAAAAATGCCCCGAAAAAGAGTAAAGTGAAAACAGTCCCAACATAAAAAAAATTTCAAGCGGAGAGTTCCTTGTACAAGACATACATAAACTACGTTCTAGAAACGTAGAGCGTAAATCTGGTCACAAACAATGAAATGCGACCAACTGCTAAAACGCAACGAGTGGTCCATCATTCATCTTGTTATAACGAAAACATTTATATACAATAATTAAATGGATGATGGCAGCATCTTTGTAATTAGAAAATATAATCTCTTATGTTCAAAAAAGATGTGGCTCGCAACAAAGGAAGCCATGACTCAGGAGCGGTTGACACCTGCACATAACAAGGCAGTCAATCGGGTACAGCACAAAAACATAGCGAGTTAAAATAAACTAAATATCAACACTTCAAAGTCAATTCCTTCATAAAAATTCCGTATTATAAACAGCTTCCGGCTTGTTCTTCTGAAACAGTCACATCGAAGAAGTAGAAATTAACTATCGTTGTTGCAATGAATTCTTAATCTGATAACAAAGTATCGGCATACTCGAAAAGACAATACACTAATTCGAACGCAGTTTCATAAAAGGACACAGCATGAACGCCTTAACAGTTTGGATTCAAGAAGATTGTTCAATTTATTGTTTAAAAAAACAACCTTACCTTCGTTATTGAAAATCGTTTCTCAACAGCTGTGCACTGTTACACAATCTGTCTTCTTGGCGACGTTCGCAACGCCCGAACAGTTCACAGATGACGAAGGTTCAGGGACGACAGCAGCAACATCGGACGTATCAGCAGTTTTGCTTTTAGCACTCGGTGTTGACTTGTTCGAACTTCCCTTGTTGCTTTTGCCCTTCTTGTGACAGCTTGGATTGGCTGGCTGAGACTTGGTATCTTTAGAATTGTCTCCTTGCGAATGTTGAGGTTTGTTTTCTTTATCGTTGTGAGGCTGAGACTTTCTTGCTCCAGAAGGCTCTGAATTGTGTTTTGTTAATTTTTTATTCGATGAGGAAGATGCTTGAGAAGATTTTGAGGATCGTCTCTTTTCGAGAACATTGTCAGGGGTTTCAGAAGTGCTAGAACTAGGAGGCTGTCTGCTTGGTCGTTTGCTAGGACTCGAATTAGATCTTTTACTAGAAGTATTGGTTGAAGAAGAGGAGTTACTATGGCTTGGTGAACTAGAAATTTGCTTCCCAGATGACAAAAAGGAAACGGAGGGGGAAGAGTTTGAGGAACTTTCGGTTGCAGAAGAAGGAATATTTTTAGTAGTATTAGTTGAAGCAGATACAGGCGTAGAGGCATTTGCCGAGTTGTTGTTCTTATTATTTGGTGTGATACTACTGTTTGAGACAGTGGCTAGAGGAGAAGGCTCGTGCGAGCTGTGGGAACTCAAGCGAGTTCTTTTTCCCGTTCCACTGCCATGTCTTGATCGAGAGCCACTCTGTAAACAAACGTACGTAAGTGGCTGGAATGGTAAATTAAGTAGTATATCTGCTCCAAATGATAATCCGCTATTAATTATTCGATATTCTCAGCCAATCCTAAAAAGCGAACAAAGAAATATAAAAAATTAGCAAAACTTTTAACATCATTCGGGAATTATTACAAGTCACAACAGGGTTCCTTAAAGCAGCATCAATCGCACATCTCAATGCTCACCTGTGATCCTGACATCCTCCTGTTTTTATAGGCTGCAATAGGAGAGTGGGAACTGTTGTGGTCAAATGCTCTGTCTCCTTCAGAAGCTCTTCTCTTCCGGTTTGCGAAGTGGAACCACTGGCCGCTACTAGGAGGGGCAATAGCCGGCCCTTCCTGGGGGAGACCATTGTACCAGGACACAAACGCGACAGGAGGCGGAGTCGATGGGTCGCTGCTCTCTAAATTCGCGGAGAAGTAGCGCGTGCGCCCCAAACGCGCGGCTTTTCTGGCCTGGCGGGCCAGATCGTACTCCTCAGGCTGCACAGCAACAAACATTATATTAAATAATGGGTACATCTTTATAAATTTAAAGGGAGGTTCAAAGACATAGATGGTTTAAAAAAAATGTGTGGGAGATATGGGTCCTTAGTGTAACAAGATTTCACTAAAGAACTAACCAAAATTATCAAATAGATCGAAACTAGAAAAGTTAATTTTTCGAGACGAAGAAGCAAGAGACACTTTTGTTTTTGAAATGATATAATGTAACAGACACACACAGAAACACAGCAGAAATTTCATATTACTACACGGATAAACTCTCCATATGTTGCAATCTTAACACAGCCACCCAACTCCACCCAAATTATGTAATGTTCTCACCGTTTCAATCCGGAAGTCTTCGATGGTTTTATACTTCACCAGTTTCTGTTTTATTCTCTCATCTACTTGGAGTTTCTTCGCTTTTTTGAAGTACTTCAGGAAAGCCCAGAATTTTTCAAGACCGTACAGTTGGTTGCGTTCGACATCGCGCAGTGTTTCTGTTTGGAAGTCGGCAAAGAGGTCAGCGCGGAAGCGCTTCTCGAGGCCGTAGCTGTAGAAACGGAACAGGCATTCCAGACCGTACCTAAGGAAGGAAGAAAGTGAGATATAAATATTTGCTATCATATTATACTTTGTAAACATTTAGTTTACAACTTTTGAAAATCAACTCTAGCGCATGGCACAGATGAATGAATCAATTTACCATATTAAGCTTAATTTCAACCTTCAATGCTGCCTTAGTCAGCAGTTTGGGAATAGAGAATATGAACAAGTATTTATTTCACCTGCACTATGTCAAAAGTCTGAACAATTCACGTTAACGGAGTTAATTGTCCGATTTTAGTCCTTTACAGTTAAAAAATTTTCTCATTATAGCATTGTGCTCCTTAAGACTTAAGACACAATAAATTTTCCGACCTGTACTGCACTTCAGCATCTTCGTTGGCCAGCTTGCGGAATTCTTCATACATTTTCTTATTGAAGGATTCGCGCAGGAAGAACGACCAGAAGCGATACAGCGTGTTCATCTCCTGGCTTCGACCAATGCCATACCGGTGACGCTCTGCACAAAGATCACCATTGGTTACCAATAACAAACTGAGAAAACGGAACGATCATATTTTTTAGACGATGATTGAGCAACCACTAAGTAGTAGGTAAACTGTTGGTCCGTTGGGTGTGAGAAAACAAATAAGTTATGCATGCTTCTCCCTCATCCTGGTCGTAAAATAATTTCATAGGGCATGATAAATATTTGTGAGCAGTCAGCACTAAGCAGCAAAAGTACTTAAGAACACACGTTGCGCTAGATTCAGCAACTCTTGTGCAAGTTAGGAGTTGAAATACTAACCCTTGAGACATCTGAGTCTGTATCTGCAGTACTCAAACTGCGTGAAATTGTTATCCTGCAGCAAGGCATGAGAAGGGTGCTGGAATAAGGGCAGTTCCCCGGCGGGCGTTGTGTCAAACGAGCTGTTCATTGACGCCTGACTGCCGACGCTCGTAGACGCAGTGCCGTCGTGCGCGTGGGGCGTGACATCGTTGTCACGAGGCACGTCGTGCACACGCGAGTCAAGGAGCCAACCCACGTGCTTTTCTACTGGCGGGTCGTGGCTGTGACGCGTCTTTTGCTTCAGAGGCTGCCGAGTCAAGACTTGACGAGCTGTGCCTCCGTTGCTGGTCTTGGTTACGGGGTAGAATCTGTGAAGTAAACGAATTATAGTTAAGAACACAGGCGCGGCAACTGACCTGGTGAGGTTACGTGAGTCGTGCCGCTGCCTCTGCCGCTTTGCAGGAGCGCATGCGGTGGCCGCAGGAGCAGAGCCTGAAGCCTCGCTGCTGCTGCTGGGGACGCTCCAAGCCCCTGATGTGGGCACCTGACTGGCCTGTGGTACAAGTACAACTTATTTTTACCGAGTAATCTTCTCTTCATAAGCTTAATGTGAAAAATTTAACATATGAACTTTAAAAATGTTAACAATGAACCAGATTAAACAAATGCCATCATTAAAAACCATTTCGAGAATTTACACATATTTTTCTCAGAGTATTTTTTAGAACCAAAAAACAAAAATACACAGGTCATAGAAGTCCTAATATAACAGAAAAATTCATTTAGCCGTTGCAAAACATGACAGCCGCTATGCTTACGGCAATCGAGTGAATATTTAACGCACCGATAATTAGTGTACACCGATTGTCCTTCGCGCATTCATAAATCGTTGTCAATAATATTCATGCCTAAATTACTGGTAACAACAATTCCTGTCAATAGACAAAACAGAGAAAGAAGATCCTTGACTGTGCTGATCTCACATCAAAGGCGGAAACCAAATAATGGACGTATACTAGAATAAACATTGACGCTAAATATCATAGCCCCATAATAAACGCAGGGCGATCTCACCACTCAGAGAAGCTGTGGTGGCGCGCGTTCATGTCGCACTCGTCCTCGAAATCAAAGTCTAGCTCCTCACGCGCGTCGCTGGCGTGCTTCTTGGAGGCAGAGGCGGGAGGCTTGGGTACCTCAGCTGTGGCATCGGCCGACTCTGGAGTTCCGTTTTCATCACCTTCTGCATAAAATATAAAACAGGTTAAAATAGCAAAGAAACAACAAAAAGCTATCGAGAGACAAATTTTTTCTAAGGATAATTACCAGGCTAGTCAAATTAATACATAAACTCTGTTTCAAGTCCTACTGACTCATCATCTGCTGACATTTGTATACTAGATTACTAGGTAGAGACAGAAGCAAATCGGAAGCTGTCATGAAAACTTCGCTCGCACAGAAAAGTTTGCCCGAGCTCTGAGCATCGAAGATGCACGGTCCTTCTACATACGTCATCCTTGTAGGAGGACAAGACATAACTAAAGAAATTTATAAAAAAAAACGACAAAAGACTTCTACATAATTATTAAGTGAGCTAATGAAGTGCGCATGCGAAAAAAACCGTGCAATATATTATTCGAATCAACAACTACAGTTATACGAACTAGCTCATGTGAAACCAGTGACACTAATGAGCACATATCTAGCACAAGTTTGAAGAAATTCAATGTGAAACAACTATCATTTCCCAAATTTTTGGTAAGTAAAAATCGAGATAATTTCAATATAACGCAGCTTAATTTTATGTCGGCAAGAAACTTGTTAAACTTATTATTTTTTTACTCTAAACAAAATCTATGTGTGCTGAATTATTTCCAAGCGCACAAATGGAAGCATACGCAACTGGCATCGAGAAGTGCATCGGAAGAAAGTGTTTGTCTGAATAAGGGCTTTTTCCTTACAATTTTAATAGCTGAGATTTGTCGGCATCAGAAAATTCCAAGCTTTAGTACTGCCTAAGCAATTAGTTCGCTAGTCAACGGAATATTGTTCTTCATAATTACGTTATCACGGTAAATTGTTTCAAACGATAAAGAAACAGTCACTATCGAAATTTCAACGTTGTTATCTGACACTCCACTTTAACATTCGCAACAGATTTAGCTATGACAATAATAGCTCATTTAACCATCGCTGTTCTTTTCCTATATAAATAAAATTAAGAAATCGGCAGCTACTGTTTTCTTAGCACTTACATCGAAACAGGCCTTTATCATTTAAACCAATTTAGGTTCGCTTAGAACTAAAGAACATGAATACCCGTAAGAAGGTAAATTTTAAATTTTGTCGTTTAAGAAGATGAAATAAATCCAAATGATAAAACGCTCATTCTCTAACGGAATTTTTTCCTGCACAAGTTTAAGCCATCTGCGAATTATGCTTCTACAAATTATACATCAAGCAGAAACTCTCAACGCAGTAGTGTCTCTAAAATCTAGTTTCGATCATTTCGACCATATTCCATTATATCATTAGGCTAATACCAAACATCTCTTAACCTAATCCGTCCATTATTATTTATCGAGAGGGATTAAACCACGCTATATTAACTGCTAGAATAATCACATATCAACTCGACCTCGTAGCTCCACAAAATGGCTTTAGGTCTCCTAAGAATATTTCCTCCAACATCAACTAATTTAGAGTCACGACCCATCAGACGACAGAAGTAGTGCTTGTAAGAAGTTTACTAGCGCTTAAGATAGCTATCTATTTCGTGCCGGACTTAAGATATAATGTTACGTCAAAGGTATTTGATCTTTGCAGTCTTCCAGGCTTGCGGCCTGATCCACTTAGGCGTAGGGGTGGGACGGTAGATTCTTTCCGTGGCGAGCGAAGGTCCGCTCCGGCTTCTTGCACGTACAAGTTCCAGTATCAAGGTAGTGGGGCTTGGTCTGGGTGATGGGGTGATGGGCTCAGTGCAAGTACAGTTTCGCGGCGTATGACCGGTAGGCGGTGTTATTATGGAATTATGCTAGATCTCTGGTAGTAGGTTGCATTCCATCAAGTATCGTCCGAGATTGTCGGTTCTAAAGTTACTTCGCTGGTCTTCCCGTATAATTCTGGAGAATATCTCGTCATGATCAAGGGCTGATGTGTTAGGGTAACAGTTTCGTCGGATGTCGCTGTTGCTAGCACACTCTGCTAAGACATGCAGCAGTGTCAGGGGTACCAGGCAGTCACCACAGTATGGGCATAGGACGGCGCTCAATCAATTAGCCATGAGTGAGGCGCGTATGACCAATCATCAGACTACACAGCGTACGGCGTCTCTGGTACGGCGAGCTGCATGCTGATACGCAGTCCTCAGTTCATTTCTCTCGTGTTCAGCCACAGGTCGAGCCATATATGGCGAACGCTAGCTCTAATGAGGTACATAAAGGATGACGACATAAGGAGATGACGCCGAGACGACATATGAGATGAAACTTAATACTCGGTCACACCCTTTCCTGATATATGATATTTATAAGGCGCATTTATTAGGCGCTATATTTATTCAGAGTTGAGATTAACGATGACTTAACCACGCTGCCTATCGATCAGTAGGCGCGGAGAACAGCACGTCGATGTAATGCTGTCACTTCTTCACAAAATACTTCGCACAGCAACACAAGGCAACGTAGCCGTCACAGATTTAATTTCGAGCTGACTATACTTCAGAAGTCCGACATTGCATCAGCCAAGGTTAAGTCAATGAACCAGTGAAAAAGTACATCACCATTTATACGGTTTCCTTATGGAGAAAATTAAATCAAGCGTTCTTGTTCAGAACGTTCCGACTTTATTACACCGTCACTTCTACAGCGAAGAAAATCTTTGCAAGTACCATAGCTACACAACACCTGTGAACTTCATCTGTATCAACAACTATTATTTGAACACCAGTTCAGTTTGGAATCACACTGAAAACTTTCAGTTTATGTTTCACTCATCGTTATACTTCAAAAGCTGTTCATTTTTTCTTCCTATTCCATTTATTTTCACACTGTTCGGTTCGTGTTTCTATTTTCGCACTTCACAACCACTGCACTTGACAAGTCGCCCGACGCGCAGCACCTGATGCGGTTGGTGCTGCTGTCCTTTGCAGATTGTGACTCGCAATGTTACAAGGGAAAAAATAACCACCAGTTTTTTCTTTCACACATACGAATCCCAACCTAATAACATTAGGTTGAATTCAACACAAATAATTGGATAAATTAAAAGACGAATTTTTCTTGGTTTTAATACCCACAAATTGCAAGTGAACAAGAAAACGATGTATTGAACGAATCTTCATCAGAAATCAGTCTTACGGAGTTGAAGGACTCTGAAACAACGTCACAATAACATGACATGACAAGTTTCGATCCATCAACAAAGGGACAACTGGAAGCTTCACCACTTTCATGACGTGATCTCAATTGAACAATACCATCACAGTAAAATTTTTCACTCGGGTCTATTTTATGTAAAAACGAGTCCTAGAAGGAGAGTCCTGAAATAACTTAACTTAAACCTTTGCCCCTAAAGTAAGTAGCCCTAATTAACTTGAATATAATACAGCTAAATGCTAAAAAGTACTAACACTCGCCGCCAATTCTGTTTTATCTTAGTAAAAGCAAACCAATCATGCGAGACAGACCAACACGAGTACCATCATTGTCGTCGCACCGTCCAAGTATATCTCAAATTACCTTGATAATGTAATATTACTGATCACGACTCGTATCAGCGGCAACATGAATTTTAGAATTGAATAACGCTGGTTTAATTGCTAACGATAATCTAAGGACAGTTAATAACTAAGACTGACCAATCAAAACTGCTTAGAAGACACAAATTACCAAAGTTCGTGTCCTGGACATCGCTACAAGCACGAGAAGCGACAGCAAATACAAAATACTGAATAAAAAAAATTGTCGACCCCTTCAACCATTTAAACGTTAATGAATAGTCGTAGAACTATTCATCGTAGTAGTACTATTCACACTCATCATAGCACCTATTAGTAGAAGTAATAGCTGAAGCGCTCAATAGCGCTTTAGCTATTAAGATATTTTGCACCAGAAATCTAATTAAACATACATAGCAAGAAGGAAGGTCCCAATTCTTGGAAATTCCACAAATCAAATACATATACCCCACAAGGGTGGAAAATCGCATCAAAATGATCAAAGCTCATTTCTTGGTCATCGCTACAAGCATGCGAAGCAAATACAAGAACTGAATAAAAACCTAGTCTAGAAAATAATCGACCCCGTCAATCATTAAAATCACAATGAATGTAGTAATATTCGTCATAGCACTATTATTTATTCTTATCGTGCAAATAACGAATCTCACGATTAGGTTCGCAGAGGAGAATCCAATGAACATCGATATTCCACTCAACAAAACTGTCAAGTATATGACTGTTTCTGAACAGGTACTTGCAAGCCTAGTCCCAAAGTGCAAAACCCTTGCACATGAAACCGCAATAACTCTACCACTTCCTAGCCATAATAAATACATCAATGAAGGCAGACATGAAAGACAATCACAAACAACTTAAGATGAAAAAAAAACTAACCTTATCTTTCTTACTATTAAAACAGCCCATAGACCGTTTGAGTACGGGGCATCACAGCCACTTTATCACTTCTTAAGACAATAATGGCAACAAAATAAGCGATATCTTAGTAATCACTTCCACCAGGAATGAATAATGCAAGTCCTAGCAGCTAAAGGCAAAATATCAGTCTTTTTCTTCCTCGTGTGTTTTAATAATAGGCTGAGCAACGAAATGTGGATATCACATTCACTTTATTTCCTAGGGATCGAAAAATCAATTAGGCTTCAAGATGAAAAAACACACGAGAGGACAAAATACCAGGAAGAAAGAATCGCATAGCATGGTATCGTAAGAACCGCATGACCTGGCATCGTAAGAATCGCATAGCATCGCAAGTGCGGAAGATTATGTCGTACCATCTCGCTGGTGAGCGAT